CACTAAATATAGAGTCCGAACAACTGGCAACAAAGGTGAGGAAATAATGGAACTACTGCAATCAAGAATGAGAAACGGAAGACCCTCGGAGTCGGAGACAATGGAAGTCACGCACCACCATGACAAAGGGAATTTGGAGAAATACAAGCCTAAGCAATAAGTTTTCACATTCTGTCTTCATAATTTTTTAATCGAATTTTTTTAAAAATAAAATAGACGTTGTATCCCTTTTTGGCTGGATAAAAAAATAATATTACCGCAGTGGAGTGTTCGACACGTGTCCTGCAAGTGTCGATGTGGCGACGAGTAATGAGTATGTGTCCATGCTTCATATAATACTTATGCTTCTAAACATTTATTCTATTGACGATAGTTGTTTGTTCCATTTTGAGGACGCGCGGTTTAAAATGTAATTAACAAACATTCGTCATTGTTTGATTTACGGTTATATAAAATTGTAAAAAAAAAAAATTAACCCAAGTCATGATTTCAGACACATAGAATGTTATTTTGATTTGTTAAGAAAGGTTAAAATCTTAACCAATTATATAGTCATGTCTGTTTTTACTATTTTTTATCAAAAATAAATACAAATATAGGACATAATGAGAAGAATTTCAGTGCAGTTAATATTTCAAAGATGTGAGTAATATTTTAGAATTTTGAATACGCGTTTTCTCCCTGTTTTGACAATTTCTTCAATTAAAAAGAAAACTTAACAATCTTAAAATTGGACGGTATGACATAATACACCTCTAATATATATAGATATAGATATATATAACAGAAAAGTAAAGTTATTTTTTTTTTTTAATAATTCATATTTTATATTAAATTTTAATAATTTAATTATTAAATTTAAAATTTTTAATGCAAAAATTAAGTGTTACACTGATCAATAACTTCATATTAAATGTAAATTTTGAAAATTCAACCGTTAGATTGAAAATTCATATCTCTTAGATTCTATATACCAAATTTTATATTAATCTAACATGATTTGATGTTTTATTCTCATAAAACAAAATTGACATAATATATACATTTCAAAATATACTAAAATATGAACACTTTGATTACTTTCAAGTTGTTCAATTTTAACAAAATTTGACATATATGATCTAAAAAATTTGAACTTTCAATTTAACGGTTAGATTTTCAAAATTCACATTTAATATAAAATTATTAAGCAGTATAACACTTAGTAAAAGCTACATTGATGTCGTTTGAACCCTCTAAATATATATATATATATATATATATATATATATATTAAATGACTATATATATTAAATGACAATATGACAATTTGATGCTCCTATTGTACTTCAAAGTAGTACGCGTGTTTAAAAGGCCCAAGATCCTAACAAAACAAAAGCCCACGTTAAATGGAAATAAAGATAAGATTCATATATATATACCTTCTTTAAGTACACCTCCTTTTTTAAAAAAATAATTAAATTTCTAAAATATTCTTAATTTTTTTAATTTTTTTGTTTTTAATTTTTAATTTTACATCTACAATATTTAATTTAGTACTTTTTTTTCACACATTTTTCCTCTTTTTTCAATTTTTACATATACTTCCTTACCTTTCCTTCATCACACCTATTTTGGTAGCATGTAAAAGAAAGAAAAAAGTGTGAAAAAAAAGAGAAGAAAGTAGCAAATTGAAAGTTGGAAGTGTAAAATTAAAAAAATTTTAAAAAAAAACTACAATATTTTATAAATTTAAAACAAAAAGGAGTGTAATTATAAAAAATAAAAAAAAGAATAGTATATATCATGAGCCTAAAGATAAATACCTGGAATATGTTTTTTTGCTACTGGACAATTGTGGACCCAAACAATGAGTTTGAACTTTGAACTGTGTTTGACAATAACTATTATTCTACTATATAATATTACATAGGAGAACTGTTTATTATTATATAATTAAAATTTACAGTAAATAATTGTTTTTAATATATAAATTGTATTACAATTAAAATTTATATTAAATAAATATATTTACATATGGAAGTTATATTTTACATTTATAATGAATAATTTAAATTGTGATATAATATTAGTTTTAATTATTAATAATTTCTTATTTAAAAAATATTTAAATTTGTTATAAATAATAAATGTATAAATAAAAGAGGGTACATTAAAAGGAATAAATGGATAAGAATATTAAATATATAAAAATAAATATAGATAGTTTGAAATGATTAAGAGATTTTTTTTTTACTATTAGGGGGAAGATGTGGGAAATGGACATAAAGAAAAAGAAGAGAATACTAATAATGTTTAATTTTGTTATATTAATGCTGAACTGCCTTAACATTAACTGACTCCACTTTTTTTCTGGTGCACTCACTTACTCAGTTAGTGAATGAGTTAATGAGAAAATCGATTAATTGAATAAAGTAATAATTACTCAAAATTTTGTACAATGTCTTAAATTCGCAGTAGCTGCCTCACTTTGTTTAGTTTTTTCCACATTCAAATCGAAAGAAAAACTCATTGTCTATTCATTTTATTTCACCCTTTTTGTTAAACATTTTTATAGTATGTTTGTATTCTCGTTTAGTTTTGTTCAACGTCAAAGTTACAAGAGAGTAAAATTACGTTGAATGTAGTTTTAAAATTCAAAAATTAAGTAAATCAAACACGCTCTTAGTGTCATGCGCATGTTAAGAACGAAGAAAAAAAAATTCACGAATATTTTTTATTTCATTAAAGAAGAGACAGTCCCTGTAATTGTCACTAATTTGACAAATTTTTATATATGATGAGATAAATTACATGTTTTTTATTACATAAATTGTTGTGAATATAAAGTGTCTAATCACTACATCCAAAAGATTAAAAGTAAAATATATTTATTACAAAAACATTTATTACGTTAAAAGCATAAAAATAATTCATTACTTCATTTTAACTACTACACCCATTTCCTTTTATCCGACTATTTTTTTAAGATAATAGATTTTTTTAATATTTTATTTTCATTAATATTATTTTTTGCTATAACATCTTTGACACATGGAGCTTATGGGGTTTCTTATGATAATCAATCAACCATTGGTTAGCATATATTTTGCGTTGGAGTTGCTGGACATGACATTGTTTGTTGTTTAAAAAGTAAAAACAAGTCGTAATACTTGTATAAGCAACTATTGCTTATGAATTATTATTTTTTATCAATCAACCCAAGAGATGACAGAAGCTTCTCGAAAAGGAAAGGAAAAGATATAATTTTAGGTTTCTAAAAATTTTAACGCGTTTGAGGAGCCGACACATGAATTATTATTAAAGAACTCTATAAACTCCTGTGTTAAAAATGTCTTTAATATATCTTTTTATTTTTATCACTTTTAATAAGGAAGTTGAGTCTCAGAACTTATCAAAACCAGGGCAAGTCTCACTGTCTCAAAACTTAAAGAGTACTTACAAAGATATTTACAGATTAATCAGCAGCAAAATTTTCATATAATGTTCTTTATTTTTTTTAATTAATTAATTTTTTAAATTATATTTTCCTAGTATATCTTCTAATTCTCATTTATTACTTTGACATTTTATACATTATTATTTATATTTTTATTTTGATAAAGATATAATTGAGAAAATAATAAATGCTGTCTTAGAATTTTAAAATGATGAATAAATAGAAGGAAAAAAATATCAAAAGTGACAAATAAAAACAAAGAAACAATAATTAAAAAATATATTATTGTCTTTGACTTTTAAAATGTCAGATAAAAAAGATCAAATTTTTATTTTAAAGGTGAATATAAAAAAAAATTAGTAATAAAAAGTATTTAATATTTTACTTATATGAACCTTTACTCTTTTTTTTTCCTTATTTCTCATGACCCAGTCATGGATGAGAGTAGAAACAAGGAACAACTATCATCATGTGTTTCAGAAGAAATTTCATTCATCCTGTTCTTAAATGTATACTACTACAATAATTATGATGTGAAGGATCTTGTTTATAAGAGTTTCAATAAAACATTGACTACGAAGATTTAATATACTTTATTAAATACCTCTTCATTAAGATTTTTACGGCAAAGCTTTAAATTTAAATTTAACACAAAATAGCTTTAAATTAATTTATTGTTTGCATATATGTTCTTTACATCATTTTTTTATTCTAAAATCTCAACACGCCAAAGTTACTTTTAAATTTAAACTAATTAAAAAAAATTATAATTATAAAAGTTAAATACATATAAAAGTTTGAGACAATAAAATACCTTATTAACATTTAGTTTTCACTAAATTGAGTTATCCTCTGTCGATAATCTTAAAGATTAAAATTCTTTTCGAAACATAGAGATTATTGATATCGTCTCTCCCAACAAAATCTTTTTCACATGCACAACTAAATAAGTGAATCCTTGAAAATATTAAGAATGCTAATTATCTACCAACTATCGTAAACTTTGTTAATTTAATATATGATGAAATTATATTGTTGAAAAAAAGTTGCACTGATATTGATATTAAGTTAAACTCTACATGAAACTAAATCTAGGTCCGGTTCAAGTAGAATTTTAGCACTTACAAAAATAGAAATAAAAAAAATAATAAAAGGAATCAAACTTTTTTCTTTAAGTAAAGTCGCATGCTTCAATTTTTAAAAAGGTTAAATAAATTAATTTTAATTATTAAAAATTATTTTATATATTTTTTTATGGGCATAGGTTGAAATATTTACCCAAATTAAAACCTTGGGTCTAAAATATAGAAAATAGAGATATCACTGAACACATCAATGGTTATTCATATTGTAGGTATGATTCATATTTTGTCTATTTATGTTCGGCTGGAAGAAAATAGTTTTTCTTTTTGTACATTCATTTCTGGCATACCCGTTAGTGCATGCGGAATAGAGCTTATCAACAAAAAGTATGAGTCTAACAGTGAAAGTGTTTGCATTGAATTGCTAATAAAGCTTTTCTGCACTAAAGGAGAATCTGTTTGATGGCAGAATAAGAGTATTTTTATAAAAAAAATCAGAAAACTGATTAAATAACTAACGGAATAAAGATAATGACATAAATAAAATATTTCCCGCAAATATAACTTATGCTAGTACCTCTGTCCTTTTTTTGGGCCTATTTTTCTCTCCAATTTTAAAAGTAAAAAACAATTGAACAAATGAAAATCTCCCCCAACTATACTTACACATACAATACTCTAATCCTTATCACCTTCTCCTTCAGTTCCTTTGTTCCCTAGTTGCTGTTAAGGGATCTAAAACATTTTTAACAGCTGGTGATTACTTCATGCCAATAGCTTGCAATATATTGGACTGTTCACTTGATCACCCATCTTCCACTCATGACCCACCTCACCTTATATAGTTTTGCTATTTTTTTTACACTAGGGTCTTTTTTTTTTTGAGAAAATAAATAAATTATTTCTAGCTATGTCTCCCTGCCTCCTTTTGGTATTGCTTTGAGGGGGGCAACTTCCATAAAACACATAATAATAATGTCCATTTTCTGGAAAAGCATCCTATGGATGATGGTAAAATTCCAATCCACATGACTACAATAGCTCTGCTCCACAGGTTTTGTTTAACTTCCTCCTTTTAGCATCGGGACTATTATGTGAAGAATTTGCACATGAACCAGCATTTGTGTCATAGCTTTTGTAGCTGAAGCACAAAGCATCTAACACACCTATTGGACTTTGAGGTAAGCAAGTGACAGAAGCACTTGAATCCTTGGCAGAGATACTGTTGGATGCCAACTCATGGATCATTTTAACACACTTCAATACTCTCTCCTGCCAAAAACCAAGTAACATAATCTTATGTTAATAACCTTCATCAGCATTTATCATCAATCACAAGTAATCAACTAAGAATGATCACGGGGTAACAAAGTAAAACTCATCATCACAATGCATTCTACCTTTTCTACGTGTTGAATCAGAACAGAAATTGCTTTTTCAGTGTCAACTGTTTGGGTTTCCCCCATGACATAGATAGCCACTGCTGCTGCAACCTCTGATGGTTTGAACTCCAAGAAGTCAATATCTGCATTGAATTCAAACCATCCAAATTACCATCACTAATTCCACCTATTCACAATTATTATCACTGCAGAGATGGGCCACGTTAAGAAAACAAATAGGTACCTCTTGCAGTGCTTGATATAAGTTGGATGGATCGCAAAATTGAAGACCTTGATGGACTTTGATCACCGTTGATCTTGCAAAGAAAGTAATCAAGGAAGGTGAAAGGAGTAATTGCTTGCATTCTCCACTTTAATGTGCTTAGTACAAGAAGCTCCATTCTCTGTATGGTTTTAGCCTCAAATATAAACTTCGATTCACCCACCTAAAGACAACAATCGATTAGCATTTAGCACATGCAAAACTAGTACATTGACTTAATAAGTACCAGACTTTGAAAAAACAAAGTTTCCTAATCCTACCTGTAAATCAAGGGAGAGTGGAACTTCTGTCTCATCTAGTTTGGCTGCCAGAGATAAACAAGCCACAGCCAACAATTGCATTGTCCAAGCTCTTCCCTTCTGCGAGTGGAAACACTAGATCACAACCAGTGGACAACATAATGAAAAAAAGAAAACTTTTCTTCTCTTCAATTATCCACTTACTGGTAATTCATATGAAGAAAGGAATCGGTCCAAGTAATTTACAGATAGATATCCACATAGAGGACCAAAACCGAAATACGATCGGACCTATAAAACAGGTGTATTGATTCGTTAGTTAGATCACATTAAAGAGCCATTAGATAAACACAAAATAATCCTCAGTTCAAACCAAATCCAAGTTGAACAAAAGATTTTCATTCAATCAGCTTCAGAACATGCAAGTTGAACCCGAAAGGAACCAACCAGGTGAATCATCGATTCATCGTCAAACAAATAAATGTAAAATTCAAACAAAACACTCCGAAATGTTCAGATTTCGCTCCAGACCACCAAAATCCAAGTCCAGGATTTAAGAAACTGCCCATTTTCTAATGTTTGAGAAGGAAAAACACCAAAAACCACATGATTGAAAAAAAATTAGAGCTTTGTTTGGAGTGATTGAGAAAAGAACAAAAAGGAAAAGCCTTGAACCCACCTTTTGAATCCAATCAATGGCCTCCATTCTGGACCCAAAGTCGAAATCTCCGGTGTGAAGTTTATTCAAGTAACCGACACCAGGCCAATGTTGGCACTCCTTTTCCACCATCAGCGCAAAACAATCATCACTCAGCAATGGCAACTCATCTGTTTCATCAAAGTGGTGCCTCCTGGGACGCCACGTGTCCTCGTACACCCCCACCCCATTATGGCTCTCGTCGAAAACGCTGTCGTCCTCTGCGCAAAGGAGGCTTGAAACACAGTCAAAACTGGGTGCCATTGCAAGACCTCGAATCAAAACTCACCCACCCTCTTCCTCCAAATCCACAAGAACGAATCTTTTTGTTCAGATTATTAATGGGGTCTGCGTGTAGGTGAGTGGGGTGCTGAGTTTCTTATATGAAATTTTAAAAGGAAGAAATGACAATCTGTGAAAATAAGAACAAAAACACTATAGAGCCACGCAATCGTCTCTCTCTCTCTCTCTCAATACTCTGCTGAAAAGAGTGCCGCAGGGGAGGGCCTTATGAAGGAAACGAACACCCCTTTTTAGGGTAAAAGGCAGAGAGAGAGCGAGAGAGTGGGGTTGGCGACAGAGGGGGCCTGTGAAGTGCGAAGTGTAAAATTCTTCTATATGTTAAATTCATAAAATCCTCAAAAGCCTAATTACCATTTTGTATTCTTGTACTATATCAGACACTTCGAGAAAAGAGAAACACACTTCTTAATTCATCAAAATAACAACAAACTATTTTATTACTCAAATTTTAAGACAAGGGGAAGAAAATAAAACAGGTCATAATAATCTAATTTTCTCTCTTTTGCTCATTCTTATTTTATATTATTTTGTGAATATTTATTAGAGAGAGACGTTGGGAAGCGCACCTGAATGTTGAAGAGAATAGTATTAGTATATTCGATTTTACCTATTTACCAAAAAAAAATGTTACTGATATTCAATTTGATACACTGTATGCGTCTGTTACAATTTAAGGATGTCGATGGTCACCCGTTTGCAACCTTGATCGCATTTAATCCAAATTACCATGTTTTATTCTATTTTGCACTGTAAATATTAATCACTAGGCACATTAAAAAATATTCCTTGTATAGACAAAATCCAAAAGGTAATAATGCACAAACGCCAATTATGTCTTACTCGTTTAATCCAGAAATAACACTACTATAATGCAAATTCCAAATACACATAGCGTTGCAACTGTTGGTCAATGTCATAGGAGCATCCATCAATACACTTCAAACTTTCGTGAGACATGGTTTATTTACCAGTGAGGTTTTGTATAATGAAGAAAGACAAAATTGGAAAATGTGAGAAATGTTTTTTTATTTTACAATGAGGTAATAGGAAGGGTTAAGGGTGGAAGGAGCAAAGCGTAAAAGTGGAAATGAGAGGAGAGGGACCAAGGGTACGTGCATATACATAGTGTCTTGTTTTGTCCCGTGTCGACGCGTGTGCTTCGCTGACATTGGGCGATGATGACCGGAAGCGTCCATTTCGTTCTCAAGTCACTTTTGTGTACTACATACTACAACCTGTCATTTCCCTCCAATCTTACCCGCCAAATATCAACATTTATTCAACTCCATGAAACAATACTCATTATCCAAATATAATATTATCTTTGTGAACAACTGTGAATGTCATGTCCTTTTTCACATGATACCAGCAATTATCAAAGTGTTGTATGCCAATTTATAAATGTAATCATATTTAACTTGGGTAAAATTATTAAAAATAATAAAAATTTTATTTTAAGTATTTAATAAAAAATGTTAATAACACATTTTCTAACATTTTTTTAAACTCTCTCATTTTATATTTTTTAATATAAGAGAAATGTGTTAAAAAATATATTACTAATGCTCTTTTTTACATAATTGTATATTCATAATTTAAACTCAATATTATTGTTAATTAACTCGTAACAATTTAATACTATTTGATTTACATACTCAATAATAAACTATTATTTTCTTATATTTAATGGATTATGTTCACTATTTGAAACAAATTTTTTTAAAGACAAAATAGTCAAATCGTAATTTCATGCTTAAAAAAGTTTAAAATTTAATATATACATAATTATTCAATAAATATCATACGACATTTAATGACTAAAATATGTTTTGATAGAATAGAACTTGTTAGTTAAAATTGCTAATTAGTTTATAAATCTTAACAAACTTATATCTATTGAGGTTGTCTTTATGTATACTATAAAACTTATTTTAATGTGCGATTTAATGCTCTGAAACTATTTAATAATTCTATATACCATTATGATTATTCTTTATCTTTGTGTCAAATCTTATAAAACATTAGCACCAAAAGAATATGATTAGAAGGTTCCCATTTTCATGTATTTTAAACTTGTATGTATGTTACAATAATTTTGATACATATAAAAGAAGTATTTAATTATTTAAAATTAATTTCATAAAATATAATCTATAACAATATATAAAACTAATAATTTATTTTGCTGTACATTATTTTTTTGGGACAATTTTATTATTATCACAATTTTCAAATCACTCTCTTTTGTTTTTCTTCTTTCCTATTATTTTTATTCAATTTCTATTTTTTTTTATAAATCTCTAACTAATTATTTATTTTTTAAAACAATAATGACGCACAATATCTCTCTTGCTATTTATATAATAAAAGTTTCTAATCATATAACTATTTTTAGGATAAAATTATTTGATAAAAATTTTATTGAATAGTATAAAATATTAGTTTGTACTAGTGTAAATTGTAAGCTGATTACTTTTTTCTCTGTTTTTTTTAATCTATTTATTTATAATCTGCTAGTACATTTTAACTTAATTTTTTTACACTAATAATGTATTAAAAATTAACTTTATACTGTAATAGTTACTCATGTTGTGTACTTATTACATAGCATGGCGGTGGATTTGTTTTTAAGGAACCAACATGACAGTGGTATATTGAACAGGCATCGAATACATTGCATTTGCATAGCAGCCTTCACATGTGCCATTTTTTTTCCGGTCAAGACAAAGGAAAATGTATAAAACAATTTGGAAAATTTCCCTTTCAAAACAGAAAAAAGAAAATTAACAAAAAAAAAATTGGATAGCTTTTTAACTATATATTCTAAGATTGAACCAGAAGATCAAAGTAGAAAGCAAACATCTTCAACAACTAGGATAGTTCTCAATAATTATCGTGTTTTCGTTTTTTTTTTCTTCTTCTTAAAGTATTTATTTAAATACCGATAGATGGAGTATATTTTACGACAACATTATTGAATCAATTGGCTAGTTGATAAAATTATCAGGCCATGTAATATTTTCTAATAAAGTGTACTGAAAAAAAAAAAGTAAATAAATTATAGTGTATATTTTTTTAATATCAAAATCATGGTTTAATAAAGAAGAAGAAAAATTGAGCCAATTTTTTTTTATCCAATTCATGCTTGAAACTTTCTCTAACAAATCCAACCATGTAATGTGCGTGTAGTTACTAAGTGAAAATGCATTACATGCAATATCAGGGAAAGAAGTAGACTCCGTCTGAGAGGGAGGAGTAAAATAAGTAAGAAATTAGGAGGAAATTAGTTGTTAATTTAAGAAAAATAAGAGAAAAATATAATATAGAAAAATAAAAATAAAGATTATTTACTAATTTTTTTAATAATGATACAATATCTGAAATGTTTGACTTTTTAATCGATTTGAGTTTTATTAATTAAACTGCTAGTATCTGTAGAAAAATATTTTTAAATGATTGTAGATAAATATTTTTAAAAGCAGCCAGTATCTAGGAAAAAATTAATTAAAAAGGATTGTGGCGATTTTAAGCTGAAAATACACCCTTAAGTAAAAAAAATAGATAAGAAATAAAATATAAAAAAAATAAAAAAATAAGATTGTTTGTTTGAAAAAAAATAAGAGAATAAAAAATTAAAAATGAATAAATCTCATTCTCTTATTTATTTATTTCTCTTTCTTCTCTTATATATATATATATAATTTTTTTATTTATTTCTCTTAATCAAATAACCAAAATTTTTATTTTTTTATTTTTTATTTTTCTTCACTCAATTTCTCGATTGTATCTTTCCTCCATACCAAGGACACGCTACCTCATTCATGTGTGGAAACAAAAGTACTGACCACCGTCTTTTTTTATTTTTTACATGACATTTCTCATGTACCAAATCATTGAAAATTTGAAATTATTTTTATTTTTTCATTTTCATTCTTGTTTTTCATTTCTTACCCTATTTTTAATACAATCTAAAATATTTTTTTAGACAGTGGGAGAAATATTTATTAATTTTTTTAAAATCACATATATCATTTATAGGAGACAAATTCTACTAAAGTCAAGTAGAACTGCTATGAAAAAAAAACCTCTTTATAAAATTTAATGTAGTTGGCTAGTTGCATATAAATTGAAACAACCAATATCAATTTATCCACGCGATATGTGATATTCAACGAGTTATATTTTAATGATAAACACAATTATTAATAAAAATTATTTTGTATAAACATCAAAGGATAGTATTAATAATAAGATCTATGATATGTATTAATTTCTTATGTGAGTAAAAAAAGTATATTAAATATTAAGTTGATCGAAACAATTATTTGATGGTTTAGTGATAAAATCAAATAATCATTTGTTAAATCAATTTATATAAAATAAAATAAAATAAATATAATTATTATAATTTAAGATCTTTTATATTATAAATTTTAAATTATTGTTATAACGACTCGTTATAATTCCTATACTAAACAACATAATTACTAGTAGTGAAAAATAATTAACTATATACTTATAAATATTAGGATGTGTATTATATCGCATACATACAAGATGAAACAACTACACAAATATGTGCAATATACATACAATAATCTTGTAAATGTAAATATACAAATAAGTTAAACTACAACTATCTACCCAAATTTACCACTAATAGGTAGTCATAAAAAAAAAAAAATCAGTTGCAGCGCCACTGTATGACCTCTACTACAACACTCCAATCTTATTCCTACCTTACTTTCATACCTCGTATGATCATCGTAATCCAAACCACATAGAAACACGTAAGGACAATATAGAGTAAAAAAAAAGAAAAAATAAGTAATATCAACTCAACATCACAACATTCTCAAAAACAAAATAATCATCATAGCTACACGGTATTTTCAATACAACAATTACATATGTAATCACGCATTTTAATTAGGAGATCTCCTACAAAACAAGGTGAGTTGTTTGAGTGACTTAATCCTATCGAACCGATAATCTTTTTGGGCTTGATAGATCAACAATAAATTAGATATAAATCTACAACACAACAACTTAGTTTCTCAAATGTCGTCACTTAAACAAGGAAGCCTAGTATCATTGTTAGGGTAGAACAATTGGATTTTGGACCTACCATGACATTAGTTAGCTTAATCAAGTCACCTATGAAATTAGTCCATCAACTACCCTCTAAGTACTATGTCATAGTCGGTTAGGAACTAAGTTTCCGACTTTATACTTTACTCAATTTGGTCGCTTTATACACATGTGCCCCAACCTTGCTCACACACAGTACCAACAAAGTTATAGA